GAAAAATGCTCTTTGTGTATAAGTCTCTGGTACGTTATTATTTGGAGTTCAACTCTTGCCTAAGCCAACCATCTGGCTCTTAGTGCCTTCATCCGGCCCACTGCGTAGGCTGCCCCTGTAGTACACTTAGGGCTGGAAGGAAGGTGCTGGGGACCCCAGTATGGGGGGCATTGATCCCCATTACTTGGGAAGATAGAAGCTCCGAAAGCAGACCAGTCTTACAGCTTTTTCCTTTTGATTTGTTCTCCCAATAGACACAAGCTGGATGTGGTCTCGTGTGGCAAGTCCACAGTCCGAGTACAGAAGGCCATCTGCAGTGGTTTCTTCCGGAATGCTGCCAAGAAGGATCCACAAGAGGGCTACCGGACACTGATCGACCAGCAGGTGGTCTACATCCATCCTTCCAGTGCACTCTTCAACAGACAGCCGGAATGGTAGGTGGGCAGGCCCAGGGCTGGTCCTGTTCTGGGCAGAGAGAACCTGATGGTGACCCAGCCCCTGGGGCCTACTTTCTCTAGGAAAGTCCCAGGCCCCTCAGCTATTCCCAGCTAACCTCCTGAGACCTTAAGCCTTCTAGAGAAGCGCCTTGTTTTTAAATCCATTGGTGCTGTGCGTTTGTGTCTTCACCTACCCTGAATTAGGTGCAGTATCTGTCCCTGTTGAAAGAAAGAAAATCAGAGGGGCTGGAGCTAGAAGGATTTTAGAGATCACCTACCGAAAAAAAAAAAAACAACAGTTACTGATGTCGACTCAACCCCAACTCATAGCAACCCCCTTTGGGTTTCCAAAGCAGTAAATCTTTATGGACGTAGATTGCCCAGTCTTCCTTCCGCAGAGTGGCTGGTGGGTTTGAACCGCCAGCTTTCTGGTTAGCAGTTAGCATTTGCCTTAGGCACTACGCCACCAGAGATCACCACCTGAGGTGGTTATCAAACTTCTTTTGTAAACATTAAAATTTGACATCGTACCTAGAACACAGATACAAAACCACCATGCTGTCTTAGTGGGAAAAGGGTTGCAGATACAGATTGCTGCCTGCTTGGCCTTCTTCATCCCTTTGTGGCAGCTTCTGAGGCCCCTCTTCAGGGTCCTAGGGCCTATAGAGACAATCTGAAAAACTGCCCTCCCATTTTACAGAGCAGGAAACTGAGGTCCAGAGAAGGGATATGATTGGCTCTGTGTCACTTAACTAGTTAGAGCCAGAACCAGGATGTGAACACATCCTGACAGCTTTCCTGTAGCTAGAGGCATCTGGGCTCCTCAGCACTGGGTTGGGCATCATAAAGAGGAGCTGTGGTCTCCTGAGAGGTCAGGCAGGATGGGTGGAAGGGTGAAATGCACAGCTGTGGCCCACTGTGGACCAGGCTGCCTGTGGAGTGGGGCCTGGGTGGGAGACTTGAACCCCATCTTGTCTCTCCTCAGGGTGGTATACCATGAGCTGGTGCTGACCACGAAGGAGTACATGCGTGAGGTCACCACCATCGATCCCAGGTGGCTTGTGGAGTTCGCCCCGGCCTTCTTCAAGGTCTCTGACCCGACCAAACTAAGCAAGCAGAAGAAGCAGCAGCGTCTCGAGCCCCTGTACAACCGCTACGAGGAGCCCAACGCTTGGCGAATATCCCGGGCCTTCCGGCGGCGCTGAAAGGCAACGCTTGTCTGTTGGCCTCTCCTGCAGCAGCAACCTGGGCTTGGACTTACTCTTAATGATGAAAACCTGGCCCTGAGAATACAGCTGTCCTGTGACTGAGCATCCTAACTGGACATTGCCTAAACTTGACTCTCATTTCCTCATTTCTTCCCTGGTGATAAATAGAAACAGGAATATAACCTAGACTTGGCCAGACCTTCCCACCCTCACTGTGCCAAGTCACTGGGGCCAGTTGGGGGTTTACAGCCAATATGGGGATCATTGCATCATCTCCTAGAAAGAGGCAACTCCGGTGGCCCTGGGGTGGGAAGGGAGAGTCCTCAAGTGTCAGACACATGGACTCAGGGCCTTGATTGCCCAGCTGCTGCTTTCTGGAGGAGGGCACCACGAGGCCCATCTAAAGCATCGGCTCCCACTTCCTGCCAACTTACCAGCCCCTGTACTTTGGCTTAACCTTCTGGAAATACTTGTTTTCTTTAGGAAACAAAAATGGCTTTCTGTGGCTGTTTCTTTGAGCTGAAAGGTTAGGATATTGGCCTGGGCTCAGGATGAGGGTGATTTAGTATCTGTGGCTCTAGTGCATATGGCAGAGAGTCCCCTGAAACCAGAGCCACTGGCCTCTTGGCGCTCGGATGTGACACACAGCCCAGACGTCCATTCTTATCTTTCAGCACTGGTGCTACCCTGGCTGGGCCAACGGAGTGCCTGTGATTAACCACATCCACTCCATGGAGCACTTCGTCTGGGGCCTGAGTGGTTACAGATGTTGGATATAGGATACAGAAGGCCTCCCCTCCTTCCCTCGCCCTTTTCCCCTACCCACACTCACAAGTAGCAATGTGTCCGATTTCCTTATGCTAAGTGATGGGCACAGCTTTTATTTTGCTTATTTTCCCCCCTGAAGTCCTCTGTGGACTTCAACAAAGGGTTTTTATGGTCCAAGCCTCTCACTCTCCCCTACCCCTCACTGCCCCAAACATAAAACCAGCATAACACCTCTGAGAGGAAGTTTGCTGGTGTGTGCTGCTCAGCATCTGGTCCTTGGTGGTTTTTTTCTGAACTCTCTCCGAGTGGTTGGGGAGTAGCCACCTCTTCTTGCTCCTCTCACAATTCCTGAGTGGGCTTTTGACCTGGAGGAGAAGTAGACAGACAGGCTGCCTGGCCAGGCTGGGGCGCTGCTGCACCTGTGCAGCTGGTAGAGGAGCCCCCCGGGATCGGGCACATCCCCTGTGAAGGCATCTCCCGTGCCACTAAATTCTGAAATGGCATAAAGACAAAAAGAGACTATACAGTGTTCTGGGAGATAAAGGAATGTGTCCTGTCACTGGACAGCAAATAAACTACCCTAAAGACGGTCCGAGGAGAACCCAACGGAGAAGAATATAGGCCAGGGAGGCTGCTGACTGCAGATCCCTGCCCTTCATTATGCTGAGTGGGCGCCTGACTGCGAGTGTGCTCCTTGTCAGCCCCTGCCAGCAATTGAGGCATTGTTACACGGGTGGAGATTGCAGAGACAGGAAAATGAAACTGAAAGGAAAGTGGGGCTGGGCACCAGCTCCCCAATCTTAATTCTAGCCCAGGTCTCCCCAGTTCAGCAACAAACTGGGCAAAGCAGCCCAAGCGCCCAGTACTGCCCATGTGGGCTCCTCTGGGATCACTGTCCTGAGAAGGGGGATTTGGGATTGCCACAGGCCAAGGGAGAGAGGCTGTAGGGTGGGTCATCTTTCTGGGTTAGGTGAGCAGAATAAAAGACTCCAACTCTGGGTGTTCCTTGAACATCCCTCCCCAGGAACGGGAGTCACTTCTCTGCTGTTGACAACATGGTGGGGGTCTGAGCTTTAGACTGCATCAGAAACAGCAGTGTTGGAGCACAGCCGAGCCTGCCTGGGGAGAAGAGGGGACTCCTGACCAGCTTCTCGAATCTTCTTGGCCATGAAAGCATACTGTTCACCCCAACCCAGCAGGAGCATGACCTCAGGAGTTGCCGGCTCCTATCCAAATGCTGAGTCTGTACTTGTTTGTGTAAGTGAGTCAGGGGACAGTCCTCACGGGGCCTGTGCAAGCTCTACTGCTGGGTCAGGCTTCTTGGTCCAGAGTTTAACTTCTGCCAGCCTGGAGCACGGTTTTGTTTCGGTGCTCCCTTGTACAGCCCCAAGAATTTCCTGGTGGGCTGCTATAGCTGTCTCCTTTGGAGCAGAGCTCAGGAGGGGCTTATTAACAAACAGGGCAGGGCTCAGTACATGTCTTGGAGCCTGTGGACAGCTCCCTTTGATGCTGCTAACTTACATGTGTGTACTTAACACCTGATGCTTCCACCTCCCCCCATGATAGCCTGGCTTTCCTGTGGAATTAAATTGTATATATATTTTTTAAAACCTGTGTTTTAAATCAATTTTTCTTTGTTCTAAATGGTGAGTTGATGTTGTTTTAGCAATCCTCAACAGACATGCCTTCCTCAAGGGCTGCTGTAGACCTGCCTCCTCAGTGGGAGTGGTTTGGGCATTAACAAGGGTCAGGCCCAACCCCAGCCTGGTTCTGACTTAACTGAAGAGCGCCTGTTACCACTGCCCACTCTGCCCTTGCCACCTCCTCAGCTACCCTGCTACTATCGGACTCCCACCACTTTTGGCCCTCTTGTTTTCCTTCCATTCCCAGGCCTCGCCCTGTTTCCCACTCCTCTGAGGATCTAGTTCCTGTCCTTCACTGGCCGGAACCCAGGGCCTGTTGGGATCTCTCCCCACACCCTCTTGCCAGGGTACCTTTCTCTTTTAGCCCATTCTCAGATCAACTAAGGATAATCCTCGCTATACAAACCCTTGTCCCCAACTTCAGCAGCAGTTGTCCGTCCCCAAACAGCAACATTAAGTGGGGAGGAGAGGGTGGCAGACTGCACACACCATTGGGGTGGATGTGGACACGTGGGGAGCAAGTGCCATCACAAAGCACATGTTTTTCACGCAGGCCAAGACCCTGCTGAGGAAACCCCACCATGTGAGCCTTGTAGCTCAGTGACGCCTTCTCAACCAGGGCTGGGAAACTGCTGCAGGAACCATGCCTAGGGTGGCCCAGGGGCCCCGGGCCAGATAACAAAGTACATTTTGTCTGTCACTTCTGGATCCTCACAAAATAATCTGGGTGGGGAGCACTCATTTTTCAGAGGAAAGAAGCACTGGCAAGTATCAGGGTTTCAGACACCGAGTATGTTCCTGGTCAGCCCCGGCCAGCAATCAAGGCATTCTTAATGGTGGAAACAGTGGTCTCAGACACTAGTCATCTGCCCCAAGCCCAGAGCTTTTCCCATGACCCCCAGGCCTCTCTCCCATGGCAGCAAAGAGGACAGGGAGAATTAACAGGAGAAGCAGGGGCCTTTATTAGGTATGGCAGACGCAGTGGAGGTGGAATTCCAGGCCTGGGCCTAGAAGGCAGAGGGCCCCTTGGCCCACACTGTCTGCCTCCACCCAGCCTTCCACCAACCACCCCAGGTTCCTTTCTCCAGCCTCCCCTGCTTCTGGGGACACAGCACCAAGAACTGACAACTGGGACCCTCCAGGGCCACAGCTTGGGGTGGATTGTAGGTAGGGTCCAAGGGTCTCCCCATGTAGGAGATCTGGGGAGTTCAATGCATCGTGCCCCAGCCAGGATAAACTTGGGAGGCTCGTCTGCCCCCCAAATCAGATAGAATAAGCTCTTGTTCTCTGTGGAGGAGGAAAGGGAGTGGAGCTTGAGCCCCTAAGGAGGATGCACAGGAGGCTGGCTGACTCCCCCGGGCAGAGGCAAATCCCCCAGGGGAGTTTTCAAGACTTTCCTTTGGACAGAGCCTTTCTCCACACTCTTCCCTCCCATGACTCTGGTAAGCAGCTCAGAGTCTGGGCCAGCGCAGCCGATGGGACAGTGGGGATCTGCCCCAGAGACAGCTGAGCGTTTGAGTGGGGGGTTCCCCAATACCAAATTCATCTCTATGTACACAGGGCAGCACCCAGTGGTAGCAGCAGGGCAGCTGCTGGGGCTAGTAAGAGTAGCCACCCTTGGGGCCAAAGGGCTGGGCAGGGCCAGTCAGCTCAGGGAGGTAGGCAGGACTCTCATCCAAGTGAGACAACGGGACTGTGTCCTCCTCACTGACCGGCCGGTCAAACTCAGCCTTGAGAGCTGGACGCTGATTGTCCGGGAAGGCCAGAGAGAAGAGGGCCTCGGGCTCGCACACAAACTTGTACACGTAACGCTCACCGGCCACCTGCGGAAGAGGGGATAGATCAGCCTAGCTACTAGGCTCCCATTTCCCCCTCAATGAGGAATGCAGCCGTTCTCCTAGTCCAGGCAGGCACATTTCTCCCCCATGCTGACACTCTTAAAGAGCCCACTTTATTCACAGTTCCTGTTCACCTCTGACCTCAATCCTCCAGGCCTTAGTCCTTTCAGTTAGTATTTAGCACTTTTTGGGTGAAGGGAACCTTGGGATTATCCACAATTTCTCCTCCTCTCTGATTGGTTCATTGTCTACTCCTAGGAACCTGTGGAGGAATGTTCTCCTAGCACCCCCCACCACTACCATCACTATCACCTCTCTCACCCTTTGGCCTTTGGTTCCTGGACCCTTACCTTTTGCATGATGCCTTTCTCATAATAATATCGGAGTGAGCGGCTCAGCTTGTCATAATTCATGGCTGGCCGGTTCTTCTGGATGCCCCAGAGTCTAGCAACCTGGGGACAGAAGAGACAAGGTTTATGGGGAGCAGGTCAGAAAGAGCACCTGACATTCTCTGTGCAAAATGCTAAGCTAGCCTTGCAACTAAGCACCTAGGATTGGCAAGAATTCCATTCAGGTGAAACAAGGATGAACAATGAAGACATGAGCCACCACAGCCCATGTTCGATCATCTCCAAATCCCAAACCTGTTAGCGAAGAGGGGCACGGCCCTGAGAGTCTCACCTCTTCAGGTTCAATTAGTTTGAACTCCATTCCCCGGCCGGTCCAGGCAATGAAGTGGGCATTTGTTGGGTCATCCAGCAAGGCCACCAGAAACTGCCACAGCTGCAAGGCGCCCCGGCGCTGGTAGGGTGGCCCCTCTCGGAATGCACCAATCCCTTCCTGCTTGATGTCTCCTGGGGAACACAGAGAATATGAGGTATGAGGATTGGGCCTTCTGGAAACCACATCTCAATGCTGTGTTCCCATTTGGACCCCCTTTCCCTCTCTCCAGGTCCTTTCCTGTGTGCCCTCCCTCTCTAATAATGTGATTCCTGGGGGCCACAGTCAGAGGGCAAGGATGAGACCCTGACCCTCCCATAAACAGTCACATCTCTGACCTTCAAATTTCTCAGGGACGACGCAGACATCATCTGGGAAAGGTCGCAGAGGTTTCTCATAGCCATACCCTTGTGGAGGAAGTTGGGGATCACTCAGATCTGGGTGACTCACTGATATGAGACCCCTGAGTCCAGAGGGACTTCTAGCCAAGGAGACCTTTCTCCCCCCAGCAGGGCTTGGCAGGGAAAGGGGGCTGCCTTACCCATGGCTCCATCACCTGGGGAGGGCCCAGAGAAGCCCTCTGTGTGAAGGTACATTGATGCACACCCAGGGACATCTGGTAAAGGAAGAAAGGTGACATTATAGGTGGTTGGTCCCACACACACATTCAGTAAGTTCTTCCTGCAAGCCCAGCAATCCCAAAGCTGTACGCCCCACCCCAGCTGCCTACACACCACCAAATCCCAGGGGAAGTTCACCCAGGAGTGGAGGCTGGAGCCCATTGGCTTGGGCAGAGGGCAGGGATGGCAGCAGCTGGGGCTGGCAAAACTGTTCTACCAGGCCCGAGATGCCAGGGAGCAGCTGTTTCCTGAGTGCAGGGGGGAGGAGAGGGCTGAGGGCTGAACCTCCGGGGAAGGGGTCCGGTGACCATGCCTAAGACACCCTCGGAATGGGCAAACGTCCGGTCAGGTCAGGTTCCCAGCCATGTATGTGTGTGTGTTCGTGTGCATGAGAGTGCCTGCATACATCGGAGGCAGACAGCATACATCGCGCTGTGCTTTTCCAGGTCTGACAGCAGAGCACATCCCATCTCCACTCTTTCTCCAAAATGCAGTAGTGTGGAAAAACCCCCTCCCAGTCCCAGCCCAATCTGGCCCTCCCCCTTCTGTTCCCACCTATGAACAAGTTGAAACCCGACACCTCCAGGGAGGAGGTGGGAGGGTGGGCTCATTCATGCCTCCATTTTGTGAATGGAATTCTTGACTCCATTCAGAGGAAGCTGAGGGGGAGGGGCAGGAGTTCAAGGGCATGTAACTCAATCCCCTCTGGTCTATAGCCTTTGAAGGTCAGTGGCAAGAGCGTCTCCCTCCCCCGCCTTCCATCTTCCTGCCTGGCCGTGCTCAGTGGGCTATGTTTTGGGGAGAGGAGAACCCTTCTGGCTCTTTCAGTCTAGGGGTTTGCTGTTTATCCCTGCTCCCCTGAATGCCCGTGGGCACCAGGAAAAGGGAGATTCGCAAACTCTAGCCAAGTCTGAGCCGACTCTAATCTCTAGATTTATTTTTTTTTAATGCAGGTTTGTAGATAAACTCAGGTTTGTGGCTGTTATCAACGTAACAGAAGCCAGAAGGAAAGCAGACCTAACTTGGAATTTATTTTTCACAAAGTGTGAATGTTAGCAGGATACATTACTGTTTAATAAACTTCAAGTGGTAAAACTTACAGAACTTCTAACAAAAGTATGTTGTTGTTTTGTTGAGTTTTCTGGGCCCTTCCTAAATGAGAATAACCCTTGCACCCGGAGGTCTGAACATCAAGCTATTTATGAACGTGGCTGAGTGTGTGAACTCCCTCCTGTCAACAGCCAGGTGGAATTAGCATTTACAACAGTGTCTCCATCCTGCCTGACTTCCGGTCCCCAGTTCTGGCCAAGAGGGAGGGTCGCCCATCAAGCCGGAGGCTCAGACAGGATGTGGAAACCACCTACTAATCCTGTGTTCCTATTGGGAACTTTGAGCCTGGCTAGTTTCATGTTCATGTTTCTTTTAGTTCAAATCCCTTTGTATTTTTAAGCTTCTGTGGGGACAGGGACGTACCCTGTTCATCTTTGTATCCTTCCATTTCCAATTCCCCTACCCTGGCATAACACTTCAGCCTGAGCAGGGAATTAAAAACCCAAACGGTGGTTCAATATAAATCAATGCTCTCAATTTCCTCTAAGTCACTAGCCACCTGAGGGCCTGAATAAAAGTTTGAAGATTGAAAATCAGTAATTCTTTTCAATCAATGAAAAAAAAAGTGAGTGGATGGGTGTGTGGACTGATGTATGAACTGGTAAATGGAGGGGAAGGTAAAAAACTTGTGAGCAAAAGACAGGCATATGAGTTGAACATTTACCTGATGTAGATACACGCCTTAGAGAGAACAATCATGGGAGAAAGAAGGGCTGTTTATGCACAAGGAGACAGCTCAGGGGGCAGGAGTGCATGGAGGGTTAGATACAGGGAAGAGGTAACTATCGGGAGGAAGTGGGAGGGGAGCTGTTGCATTGTGGTAAATTGTAGTCCATGTCATAAGACAAAGTGTATGTGAACTGCTGTATGGAAAGTGAATTTGCTCTGTAAATTTTCACCCAAATCACAATGAAAAAACAAAAACAAACAAACAAAAACTTGTGAGCTGATGTTCTGGGTTGAACTGAAGTGTTCATTGGCTCACATGCCACCCCCACTGGCCATCTCACAAAGTACCCATCTGCCCCCTCCCCAGAAAGTCTCTTACCTGAGTCATAGGCGAAGTCCGTCTGCTCCTGTTTGATCACCACCCCCGCCCCTGGGTACCTGTGCCCATTGACCCCACCCAGGCCCACTGCCGGCTGACACGCCTGCTCATACAGGGGGTCGTGGTATTCCTGCTTGAAGTTCTGCTGGGGGTAGGGCAGGCAGGGCTCTGACAGCTGGTGTTGGTAGGGGGCTGGGAGGGGCTCCCGGCCCCCTCCCTGAGAGGACGTGAAGGAGTGGCAAATGTCCAAGGGCTGCTGGAAGATGGAGCTGGATGTGGTTGGATGGAGAGGGAAGAGAAGAGAATCCTGAATCAATCCCTCCTGCTACCTGGCACTCCCAGAGCCTGCAGGGTGGGCTCAGTGAGGGGAAGTGGGGGGCAGGTTCCTATCCCTTCCGCCCTCCCTCCCTTCTCCCAGGTGCCTGCAGGGAAGTGGCGAGCCCTCGAGGACTGAGGACCAACTGGTGAGACTTGGGCCCACAAGTGCAGAGGATCTCCTTACCTATGCTCCCCGAGGTACCCATGGCCAGCAGGGTGGGGCTGGGAGCTGCCAGAGGCCCTTAGGAAACTCTGTTGTTCTGCCCGGGGAAAAGGCTGCAGGGACGACTGTCCAGGGGCACCGGGCGCGGGGGACTTGATGGCGATTTGTCTGGAGGGATCATAGGCACTGGAGTTGTCGGGGGGAGACAGGGGTGAGGGGGCAGAGAATCTGGACGAGCATCTTTGAGCCCTTCATGCCCAGGGGAAGTGTGGTCACAGGGGTTCCCAGAGGAGAGGTAGAGGGGGCTGGGAAAGGAGCTCCAGGAGCCAAAGACCCCATCCCCATCCCAAGTGGGCACTTTCTCCTTTCACCCATCTGGAAAGTGGGTTTTTTCTTGAGAATACCTCTCCCCAGTCCAGAGTACCTGGGTTGGCTTGGCTGGGGCCTGCCCTGGCCTTCCACACATCTCTTGAATCCCCCTGCTGCATTGTCCACCCAGACTACTCCGAGAGACCCTCATCTGTATCGCTCCCTCTTACAGCACTTCAGTAACCCTTTTTGTTGTCTCCCATTATGTATCTGCTGCTGATGCTCATAGGTGCCTCTCTACCTCCTACCCTCCCGACACCCTTCCCTCCCCAGGGCCCTCACCTGGAGTAAAGGCACTGCTCGCCATGGTGGTAGGAAAGTGGCAGCTTCCGGCTGCAGGACAGGGCTGGGTCTGTGCGGGGACTCTGGGGCTCCTTCTTGATCCTGGTGGTGGGGCTGTGGAAAGCTACTGCGGTGGTGGGAGCAGCCGCAGAGTAAGATCAGAGAGTCACGGGAGGGGAAGGCAGGGCTTGCCGCAGCTCTGCTCTCTGAGGACCAGCTGGGTGCCTGGTACAGCTCTGGCCTCTCTCTAGGTCTTTAGTTGCCTGAGATTTTTATCAGTTGCCAATCCCAATTCATCAGGACCCCATGGGTAGAACTGTGTCAGAGCAGAACTGTGCTCCACAGGGCTGTCAGCGGCTCATTTTGTGGAAGTAGATGATTAGCCCTTTCTTCCAAGGTGCCTCTGGGTGGACTCAAAAGTCTAACCTTTTGGTTAGCAGCCAAGCATGTTAATCGTGTGCACCCCACAGGCACTCCCTAAGATCTATAGTCAGACAGTTCTGAGAACAGTTCGACAACTGACATGATGCCTCGCTTTATACACCAGTCTGAAAACCAAAGAACCAAACCCACTGTTGATTCTGACTCACAGTGACCCCCACTGGGTTTCTGAGGCTTCAAACCTTTAAGGAAATAGATTGCCCCATCTTTCTTTCAAGGAGCAGCTGGTGGGTTTGAACCACCAACCTTCTGGTTAGTCGTCAAATGCGTTAGTCACTGCATCATCAGAACTCCTTATGGCAGTCTTACGTCTGATGTTAACCAAAGAAACTGTCTAAAGTTCAACATTTAACACAAAATCCCAAACCCCAGAAAAGACTTTCATGTGAGCGAGCTCTTCAACCTTAGTAAGACCTGTGGTTTTCCTGAGTGCCCTGGAAATTCCAAGGCAGGGACATGTTTTTTTATTTGGGGCTATAAAGGATCTTTCTTTTTCTGGTTTAGGTTGGATATTAGCCCACTCAAATGTCAGCTGAATAGCATTACACACGTGCTCCTAATTATCTGTGAAGAACATTAGCCTTTCCTGTGGCCCCTGCTGGGTCCTCCAGCTCCAGCCATCAGACTAAGCAGCAGAAGTGGCTTCTAAGCTGGGTGGGCACTGCCTGGAATGACTGTGCCCTGTTCCATTTCATTGGTGAAGGCATTTGAGGGCAAATTACCAACATTTAAAACAGGGTTTCTTAACAGTGACACTGTTGACATTGGGACCAGATCACTTTTTTGTTGTGGGAGGCTGTCCTAAGCATTGTAGGTTATTTTTTTTCAGCATCCTCTACTCTCTAGATGCCAGTAGCAGCACCCCTACTCCAAATTGTGACAGTCAAAAAGATCTCCAGACACTGCCAAGCGTCTCCTGGTGGGCAAAATCGTCCCCAGTTACAGGAAAGCAACAGAGAACATCAGAACAGGAGCCTGCTGAAATGCTCATTTCAGAGATAAGGAATGAGGATCAGAGAGATGAAGTGGCTGCTCTAAGGCCACACAGCTAGGATGGGGCAAGGCTCAGATCTGAACTAAGGTGTTCAGTCTCCCTGTTACTACCTTGGTCTTCGAGTCCAAAGGAAGAATGGGGAGCCCTACTCTTCACCCTTTTCTTTAGGAAAACAAGTTGATTTCTGTGATTCTCTAGCCCTATGACTCATTTCCTGCCCTCCCCCTCCCTTTCAGGGTCCTCTACTCACAGTTTTCTGAATGGAAGTCAGGAACAAACTGCTCATCACTGTCTGGTACCTGAGCTGCAGGGAAAAGTCACAGGTGAGTCTGGGATGGGGGACCTAGAGACAGTCCCTGGAAGACATCATTACCATAGTCCTGCGGATTAGCACCAACCCAGAAGGGGACAACGGGTCTGAAGGTGGCTCCACCCCAGGTCCTAGTGCCCTCCATCTCTAGGCCCTACTAAGACCCTGGAGGGAAGGCAAAGAGAGCCTGTGTATTCCCACAACCTGTCTGAGCAGATTCCAGAGTCTATTCCTGGATTCTTTGTCTTTATTCCCTCCATTTTTCTTAAGTGGAGACAACCCCACCCCTCAGAGCTTCCAAGCTCCCACAAAGCTCACAGGGGAGTCACATTGGGAGGGACAGGGGTACAAAGAGTGAGAGCCCAGGGTCTTAGAATCACATAGATTCTGAATCTGGGCTGGGCCCAGGAATCTGCATTTTAAGCAACCTACCAGGTGAATTTTGAGATGCAGAGGAGTTGGGGGAGTATGGATATGAATAGAAGGAAGCGGAAGGTTGAAAAGAGGTGAACAGAGGATGACAGTGGGCAGGGGGCACACTGCAGGAGGCTGGGGACACTGGGAGGTCACGGTGGGTGCCTTATCCCTTTGATGTGCAGCTGGGGGAGCAAGGACTTTCTAAGCTTGGAGGTCTGAGGAGCACTGCCAGGGTGCCAGGGTGGGTGGAGCTGGGTTTGGGGATTAGGCAGCAAGACTGAAATAGAACAGCAGCTCTTTCAAGGCCTCTGACCCAGGCATCCCCACTCTGATTTCTAATTCTGATCCTGGGCTTCAGAGAGTTAGGTTTCCAAGCCAAGTACCTCCCTTGACTCTAGTGTTCTTGCCCATTTTTCCCCCTTTGTCAAGAATAAATAGATTGCAGCAGGAAGGGGAAGGGTGGATATCAATCAGAACTTCCTGATAGTCCAGGAAGGAGTGGGTCTAATGTAAAGCAATGGAATCTGGATCCCAAGGAGACTAGTCTCTGGTTCCTCGGAGACTGCTCTCAGATTGAACAATGGAGAAACTGATACATGAAATGACCAGAAATTTAGAATGGCTGGTACAGGTGAAGACTATGGAGAGATAGCTGAAGAATACGTCCACATCTCTAGCCTGTATAACTACACAACCCATCTCCTACTGTGTCCACTCTAGGCCAGGTCACCGTGGTTTCCTACTTGGATTCCTGCCACAGTCTTTTATTGGAACTTCCTCTTTCCACTCTCCCCTCCACATAGCTGTCAGAGTGATCTTTTAAAAACAGAAATCAAATTACTTGTCTCTCTTGCTTAAAGCACTCCACTGGCCACCTGCTGCATCTAAAATGAAATCCAAGCTCTCCCCTTTGGCCTGCAAGGCCTTGGATGATCTGGCCTGGCTCAGCTCACCTCTCCAACCTCCTCCAATGCCTCCTCGCCTGTCCCTCTTTAGCTGCCTTGGTCTCCTTCCTATTCTTCAAAGGTGCCTTGCTCATTGTCTCTGCCATGCATATTCCCAAGGCCTTTGCCTGTTTTTCTCTGGCAAGGTCTTAGCTTACTTGTCACCTCCTCAGAGGCCTTCTCTGGCCACCCAAACCAAAGTGCTCCCTCCTGCCTCTATCCCACTGTTTTATTCTTTCCCTAGCACATGTCACTACTGAACTTATCTTAATAACTAACATGTATTTACTTGCTCAGTGTTCATCTCCCCCACTAGAAAGTAAGCTCCTGAGGCCAGGAGTTTACCTGTCTCATTCCTTTCTAACTTCTAGCACCCAGAACAGGTCTGTCCAAAAGTAGACACTCCATGCATTATTTGTTGACTATGACTAGAATAAACATATAATCACCTCTGGTTCTCAGCCTGGCATTGTGGCCCAGGAGCCAGAAGAGAAAAGCATTGTGGGCCCGGGAGCCAGAAGAGAAAAGTTCCTAACCAACCAAGCCCTTGCCTCATCCTAGGCTGCCCCCTCTCTACAGAGTAGGTAACACGAGAGGCAAACCTTCTCTGGTGAAAGAACATTTTCTTACAACAGACACTTGAGGGAATGAAGTTGATTGGCAGGAGGACTCCTTACTAACTTGGTACCAGAGATGCCAAGAACTTTTAAATACAGGTTTCTAGATAATTGGGAGCTCTGGTAGCATAGTGCCTAAAAGCACTTCACTGCTAACCAGAAGTCTGGAGGTTCAAACCCACCAGCCACTCCTCGGAAGGAAGATGGGGCAATCTACTTCCGTATTGATACTGCCTCGGAAACCCAAGGAGGGGTCACTATGAGTTGGGTCCGACTCACCGGCATGTAACAGCAACAACAACAGATAATTGGGAGTCCCTGAGCTAAGCTGGTAATTGAAAGGTTAGAGGTTTGAGTCCACCCAGAAGTATCTTGTTGTTGTTGTTATGTGCCGTCGAGTCGGCCCCGACTCATAGCGACCCCTCCTTGGGTTTCCGAGGCAGTATCACTACGGAAGTAGGATTGCCCAACCTTCCTTCCGAGGAGTGGCTGGTGGGTTTGAACCGCCAGTCGTCTGGTTAGCAGGCAAGTGTCTTAGCCACTATGCTACCAGAGAAGTATCTTAGAAAGACCTAATGAGCAACTTCTGAAAACTCCGCCATTGAAAACTCTATGGAACACAATTCTACTCTGACACACATGGAGTCATCATGACCTAGGGTTGATTTCACAGCCATCTGTCTGGGACAGTTTACTTTTTGCCAGAGTGATTGAGGTCAGGGAATTTAAGAATTTGGAACCACCAACAGCCAAAGAACTCATGAAAAGTGAGCATTATGTTGTTGTTGTTGTTATGTGCCGTCGAGTTGGACCCAACTCATAGTGACCCCTCCTTGGGTTTCTGAGGCAGTAACACTACAGAAGTAGATTGCCCCATCTTCCTTCCGAGGAGTGGCTGGTGGGTTTGAACCACCAGCCTTCTGGTTAGCAGTCAAGTGTCTTAGGCACTATACTACTAGAGCTCCTATAAAACAATTATAGAATGATCCAATAAACCAGTAGGATGTGATAGCCCCCCTGGCAAAAACAGACAGAAACTCACAGCCAGCACACATCTTTTCACCAGCCCAAATAAGGCCTATAGGCAGCAATTTCCAAACAGATTCCCAGTCCCAGCCTCTGGACAGTGTTATTCCCTAGGTCCTGGGCAGTGCCCAGGCATCTGTATTTTTAATAAGCACCCCTGGTGGCCCTAATAGGCTTGTCTGGAAAACATTAGGTAAATGGAGGGCCTCAAAATCTATTCAAGCTGCCTGGGCCCACACTCATCCTGCTATGCCCTCTGTGCCTTCAAATAGGGGACACCCCCAAAGGTGCCAGGGATGGGGGTGATAGGAGCAGGGTGAGTGATACTTCCCTCTCTGCTACCTAAGCAAGGAGGGTCCCAAGGGCAGAGGAGGTACAGAAGTTGGGGGAGGCTGACGCACTGTGGGCCCCCTCCTGGGACCTCATTAACTGCCAGTTTCCACTGAGGTAATGGGCTGGGGGCAGCTCCTGCTGGCGTCACCGACCAGTTCACATGACACCCAAAACCAAGAGCAGATAGCCCCAGAGGTCATCTCACCTCTCCTCCTGGCTTGGGCTTGGAGGTTTGACCAGAATCCTAAGCCCTAGAAGACCCCAGAGGAAGCCACCTCCTCTCACTGAACGTGTACATCCCAAGAGATGGCACCATCCTCTTCCCAGAACCAGCGAGAAATCAGCTGAGGCAACAATGGGCTGCGTCAGGAACCGTCCCTGCTCGGCCCCTCCCCAAAACACTAGCCCTCCCCTAAAGGGGCAGGACAGAGCCTCAGTGGCCCAGAGATTGCCAAGAAGCACAAAAACAGGAACAAAAACACTGGGCTTTGCATTCCTAGAGAGCAGGAGAATTTTTAATTACCATGTTTGGTCTTGAGTGTACACCACTCTATTTATTTGTTGACTTGATTATTTTGGCTGCTTTAGCCAATGTTCCTGGGTCTATCCCCAACTCCATCCTGGCACTAAGGGGGAACTGACCTGCTTGGGGAGATGGCAAATGAGTAAGGAGGGGGTAGGGCAAGTGCCAACCAGCATAATACCCAGAAAAAGAGAGGGTTTTAGACAATGTTCCTCAAATGGGGGGTCAGTAGGAGAAGAGAAAGGGCTTAGCGGCTTCCAAACTGGGCTCCAGACGAATTGGGGGGTTAAGACAGCCAAGCAGCTCAGCGCCCCAGGGTTCGCCACTGACAAGAGACCCACCTCATCACCTTTTCTCTTTCCTAGGACCCAATCCTTGGGAAGAGGGCTTCTCAAGGTGTCCCTGGGTGGGGGGCAGGGGCGAGGCATTCTTGGAAGCTTCTGCTCCATTGTGTCACCACTGCCTTGTCTCTCACTCTTACCCCTGCCCCCACCCTGGCAGCCTCTGTACTGGAAGGAACCAGTTCTCTATCTATGGAGGGGGACATTTGTCCCCAGGAGCCTTCTGGAAGGGGAGGAGACAGAAAGATGTAGAAGGAGGCATTGTAGCTAGAAAAGACTGGGGGAGGGGATTAACCCCATCTCTCCCTACAGACACGCAGCATTCAGATTCACACACACCCCAATTCCCTTACTCCACTCTGGTGGTGACACGGCAGCACACAGGTGAAACACACCCTCCATGCACCCCCTTTGCACACGTCATCTCCTTTGGACCCACAAGATGAAGACAGAAAGCCAAAGAGCAAGGGGATAGGAGCCCTTCGAAGAGGGTTTGGAGGCAGTGATTCTTACCATTTTAGGGAGCAAGGACTCCCCCCCCCAAAAAAAAGCCCATTTTCTAGGAAGGGTCCTAGAAAATGTATGTACCTGTGTGCATGGTGCACCCCCAAAGAGTTACACTTATGATAGCAGAGGGCTCAAGGGCCGCTGCAACCCATCCTCTGAGCCCCTGGGAATCCACCGAAACCAGGTTACGGACCTCAGCTTCACACAAAGGACCTACTTGGTCCAGAGTCAGTGTCCCTTCCTACCAAACCCATCACAAAAATCATTGTCCCCGGGGGGTTCCCAAGGACTCCCGAGAAGCCTGGAGAGGAACCCTTGACCCAAACCAGCACAGCGGCGACCACCATAACCAGCGGCATCATGGGCTCAGCCTGCCTGAGCCTGGGTTTGCCTGCAGTAAGCCTGATCCTTTCTCCAGCATCGCAGCAGAACCCAGGCACCCCGAAACCAGACATACCCTCCTAGCCTCACTTTATCCCCCTGTCTATAAAAAGCCCAACTCCAAATATGTCCGAGCTGCCTCTAACAAACCCTACTCACGTCACCCCCAGTGCACTGGACTCTGAACCGCATCTCTAAACCAGACCCTGGTCCAGCCTAAGCATCAGCTAGACTCTACAGCTTCACCCATACTCCAAGGACCCACTGCTTCTCTCTGCATTGGGGCAAACCAGCTTCTCGGGGCTTTAGGGAGAAACCAAGCTGTGGGAGGGAGGTTGGGCTGCAGCCCCCATTCCACCTATGTGCCCCACCATTGGCCAGTTTCCAAAGGATCTAGTTCCCTCCCTGCCACCCCAAAGCTCCCCCTGGGCTGCAGGGGTCACTGACCTGGTGGGAAGAGGCAGGAGAGGAGGCTGGGGTTGTTCTGGGATGGTGCAGGGGGACATGGCCCCGGCAGCTGCATCTGTCTCCGCAGAGAGAGCGAGAAGGAGCGAGCGGCCTCAGCATCCCCCCCTCAGGCCTGGCCATCCATCGCCAGCTGGGAACCTGAGCAGCTCCCTCAGAAGGAAGGAGAGGGAACCAAGGAGATCCCAGCCCCCCTATGCTTTGTGATCCCCACCTCCGCCTCCCCACCCACTGGATTTAAATGTACAGGGACTCCCAGAGCAGCAGCATGTAACACACACATACACGCACACATGCACACTCACACACGCTGTCACACTGACAGACAGACACACAATCTCTAGACCCCCACCCCCAAGGGGTGGGGCTTCCAAGGTAGAGAGGAGATGAGAACACTTTTCTTCCCCTCCCATTCCAAACCCAGCACAAATGGACCAGTTGCTGCCAAAAAGCCAACCTCTGAGCCCACCCCAGCTCCTAGCCCTGGCGGCTGCCCACTGTGCGGAGAGCAGGGACCTGCAGCTGACATAGCCTGGTGAGCCAGACAGAAATCAGACGTTGGGAAAGGAAGTCTTTGAGGGAACATGGAAACTGACACCTCGGGCGTTCTTAGCTCCAGCCTACCTCCGGAACCTCGGGAGGAGGCTGGGCAGGCAGGCCTGGTAGAATTGGGGAAGACTGCACAATATACCCCACATCCCTCCAGCACCCACTCAGCCGGTTGGTCGATCATCCATTCTACGAAATGCCTTCACCATCTTTGTTATGCTAAAGAGTCATTCTTTCAACATATTTTTTGGATACTACAGTGACCAAGACAGACCGAGTCTCACCGACCCCCCCCCCCAGGATGTTGCCAAGAGTCCATTCCTTCTACTCCAAACTCCTATAGAGGATTGGAAGAGGAAGGAGCTGGGCTTGAACTTAAAGAAATCCCCATACGAAGTACCCAGGTAGAGGGATGGGAAGTTCCTAAGCAAGAGAAAAGGCCTCCAAGGTGGGGCTCTTAGTGCTTTGGTTTCCAGCTTTTCTGCATGTTGAAATAAAGATCCTAAAATGGGAGTGCTAACTCTTTCCTCTCAGAGACTGTCTAAGCCACCAATTCACCTCCACCTGCAGCCCCACCAGCGCAACACCTTCAAGCTTCAAGCCCCACCGGCACACACCAAAGAACTCAGCCAGAAGAGATCCAGAACACACCTCCACCCATACAAGGCCCAGCCACTGACTGGGCTGACCCCCGCTAGATGGTAGCTACCCCCACCCCCACCCCCCACACACAGAAAAGGGGAAATTGGCCTGGAGTGGAGGGATTCAGGAAGGATGGAGGAGGAGTGGTTACCATTAGAATTATAATAAAGACGATTTGGGGAGCGAGCCCTGGGCCTTCTTAGCCAAAGTGCATCAGAAAAGGATTATTTAAATTTTTGTTGTTGTTCTTTTGGCTCCGACTGTAAATTGTTTGGTGCTGGGTAGGGGAGAAAGGAAGCCAAGAGGGTGGGAATGACTGTTTTGGCAACTCCAAAAGATAGGTAACTAAGTGCTCCCTCTCCCCATCTTCCGCCCCAGCCCCCCAACACTCCAACACACACCTTGGCCTGTCCGCTGCTGCCAAACAAACTTTGCAAATGAAAATTTCAACCAGGAAAACAGGCCTGGGGCCAAGTTCCATTCAAATAAGCAAATACCCCACACAATGGTTTGATTCATCCCCAGGCCTAGTTACACAAGCCTGGCTCAGGGCAGAGAAATATCAATGTAAGTGTCTACCCTGGGCACTGAGAAGAGCCGAGGAGTAGAGGAGTGGAGAAAGGACCTTCCGACCCCCTGAGATTGGGAAAAGGAAGAGAGGAGATGAGTTAGGCTGCAACCCAGGGACCCGAGGCTCCAGTGCCCCAAGTATGGAAAAGGTCACACAACTACTCACCTTCAGACAGCCACGTCTCCTGGAAGTGACTTAGATCCTGGAAGAGATCTGAGGGGTGAATAGTGGAATTGGAGAAGGTGAGGTGTGGGGAATGCGGAGAGAGTGGGAGCCCCAGCCAGCCGGCGAGCCCCTTGGGGGTAGGGGCTGAGAAGAATGCCCGGAGTCCCTCGGACAGCTAGCCTTTTTGGGAAACGGGCAGTGACTCTCGGATCGACCCCTCCCCAGGGTGTGTGTAGAGGGTGGAGGGTCGCGGTTTGTCAGTCTGGTTCTTTACCTTCGGAGTCGGGGGGCGGCAGGGAGCTGGGGTCCATGAGCTTCCCCTGCGGGACCATCAGCGCTTCGCGCAGGCTCCCATTTCCGGGCGATTTCTGCGGGAAGGGGGAGAATGCCCCCGAGTCACCCAGAGGCCGCTGGTCGGGGTTGGGGCGGGGCTGGGGTCCCCAAGTGACCCAAGGGCTAGGCCGCCAGGACCCCGCGGGGGCCGTGGGAGGGGGCGGGGCGGGCGTGGAGGCCGCGCGGCGCTCACGCTGCAGAAGGTGTAGGGCACTTGCTGGTCCAAGTATCCGCCTTTCATCCTCCGCTCCATCCGGCCGCTCCCTCCGGCCGCGGCCCGGGCCCCGCGCGGGGGCAGAGACCTGAGGGTGGGGGTGGGCTGTGTTCGCACACCTTCCCGGAGGGCCGCGGGGCGGGAGAGCGGGGCGGGGGCGGGAGGGGCCGTCGCGGGGTGCTGGGCGAAACTTCGCGGACTCACTCCGGCGCTGCGCAAGTTTCCGCCCCGCGGCCGGGCGCCGCCACCAGTCCCCTCCCGCCAAATAAGGTCCCACCTGCTCCGGGAGCTGGGCGCGCCTTTCTGTTGCGTCCTGCAGCCCCGCTCTGCCCTACTCGGTTACATAAGACGCGTGTGTGTGCGTGTGTGTGAATGTGTGTGTGTGTGTGTGTGTGCGCGCGCGCGCAGAGGAGCGGCCCGGGCGCGCATCATCCGCACGCCCCCAACTCGGGCGCCCCCTCCAGCCCCGAACCCCAGCGCCGCCAACCCCAGCCCTGGGATCTGACGACGCGGGGGCGGGGGAAGGGCAGCGAGTGTGGTGAGCTAGGCGGAGATCGCAGATACGCGCGCTCCCTCCCCTCCCACAGCTTCACCTGGGGCTCGCCCGTCGGTGCTGGAGCCGCTGGGGGCCCCGAGCACGCCCCGGGCCGCTCGCAGGGCCGCAGGGATAGGCCGCAGCGAGGCGGCCGAGCCCGGGTCCCCGCGCACCCGCGAGTTTTCCGGGCGCAGCAGACAGTTGTGAGCTCCGGGGAGCCGCTGATTGGTGCGTTTCCTGTGCCGGGGCCTCGCCCCCTCCCCCCGACGTTCCCTTTGTTTCATTGACTTTTGTGAATGAAACCCCAGGGTCTGCACGCCCGCCAATCAGGAGCCTCGCCCAGCAGAAGCAGGGGGTGGAGTTTCCCAGTCGTGGCGGCCAATCGGGAGGCAGGGGCTGGTTCCCGGCTTCATTCACCGCTCAGGCTCCCATTCATAAAAAAATAAACTTGCGGCCCGCAGTTCATTCATAAAGAGCAACGAGGAAGCGAGGTAAGCCAAGTCCCCCCCGCGGTTTTTCTACCAGGCTTGTCAACCGCCCTTGGGTCTGAGACGCGGCGAGGGCCTGCGGCTGGTGTCTTCACATGTCTCTGTACATCTGCGTGTACGTGGGAGTGTGAACACGTCTGTGTGTGCGCTCTGTGGGGGAGACGGGCGGGCTTGTATGCCCAGAGAAACAATAAAAACTAGCTTTTAGAAGCTTTTTGCTTCCTCGTACTCATTCCGTTCCCATAACCCGATGAAATGAGTCTATTGTTTACATTTTACAAAGATTGAAAAGGAAGGCTCCAGAGAGGTGCAGTGACTTGCGTGAGGTCACTCAGCCAGTCAGCACAGCTGGGGTTCACGGCCCAAATCCCCAGGCAGTCCTGTACAGGACTCTGAGGCCATGATTAAATGAATGGAGCTATGTGACGACACCTGATACACGGTACCCCCTGCAAAAAAAAAAAAAAAACCACCTCTTGCATCAAGTCGATTAGACTTATAGAGACCCTTCCTTGGGTTTTCAAATCAATTAGACTCATAGTGACCCCTCCTTGGGTTTCCGAGGCGGTATCTCAACGGAAGTAGATTGCTTAGTCTTCCTTTCAAGGAGTAGCTGATGGGTTTGAACTGCCAGCCTTCTGGTTAGCAGTCAAATGTCCTAGGCACTACGCCACCAGAGCTCCTTGATACACAGTTGTTGTTGTTGTTGTGTGCCGTCGAGTCAGACCTGACTCATAGCGACCCCTCCTTGGGTTTCCGAGGCAGTATCACTACGGAAGTAGTAGCGACCCCTCCTTGGGTTTCCGAGGCAGTATCACTACGGAAGTAGGATTGCCCAACCTTCCTTCTGAGGAGTGGCTGGTGGGTTTGAACCGCCAGCTTTCTGGTGAGCAGTCAAGTGCCTTAGCCACTATGCTACCAGAGCTCCCATGCGCAGTAGGCACTCAATAAATGAAAGCTGGCACAGAACCCAGACGTTTTCCTCAGGGGTCTGTGTGCTGCAGAGCTGTTTTGTGACCCACTTTCTATCGGTTGCAGCAGAAACCAGAGGTCCCAGGATTTCTGCACATGCAGCTCCTTAGTAACATCCCTCTTATCCTGAGATCAAGCCTGAGATATTAGTGAGGCCCCAAAGGACCTGATGGCCTGAGGGCAGGGTTTCATTTCAGCCAAGAAGCGGGTCACAGCCTCTGTCATCTCATTCATTAAACATGTATTGTGCTGGACTCAGTGTTGGGTGCCAGGCGAACAGCTGTGGCTGAGACAGATGTCTGAGAGCTAGGCTGTTTGGGCTGTGGACTGGGTGGAGTGGGGGCACACAGAACATGAACCCCAGGTCTTTTTTTCTGAGAAGATTCCCTGGGTCTACAGTCTACACATTCCTGTGAGGAGAGCCTCATTTTGCTTCCGGCCTGTTGATGATAAACACAGGGATTGGCCAAACCCCAGGCCAGGAGGGGGTGCTTTCAAAACTTTGTCTCATCTAACACCCCTACTTTATAAATGAGGCAGTGGAGGTTCAGAGCAGGTAATGACCCATCCAAGGTCTTTTAGCTGGTCAGAGTCAGAGCTACGACTAGAACTAGGTCAGAACATCAAACGTCTGCCACCTCCTTAGGGTCCATTCCGTGAGATCATTTTGATCAAATGATACATTTTCATTTCTTTGCTGAACTGCTCTTTAAGGCTCATGTCTACTGCCCTTCTCCTATAGGAAGCCTTCCGGTATAGCCTAAATCAGTTCATTAAGGTCCTCACAGCATTCTTACCTATATGTCTGGTGAGAACGTCTTTCATTCAGTTACCCCTATGGATGGAGAGCTCTTCAAGGCCTGAGAGGAAGTCTCATTTGGCTCCGTGAAGTCCTCCCCACAGCCTGCTTCATGTTTATGAGAGTCCCATGACATGCTTGTTCAGTAAATAGATACAAGAAAGACCAAACTAATTGAGTTTAGCAGGAATCCTGCCCAAGGAAGGGGAGACAAGTCCAAGCAAATGCCAGCTTTGGGCTTGGTGGAACCTGCTTTGGGAGGAGCAAGTGTCCTGGAGTCAAGACGGCAGAGCAGGAGTTCGGAGGCTTCTTACAGGAAAGCAGCTTTAATGGAGCCCAGAAGATTCAGTGGGTCCTGAGCAGCCCTTCCGGTGGGAGCTGCTCTAGAGGTGTCCCTCTGGCTCCGAGTACCGTATTTCCTGTATTAGTCATATATTTCCCCAGAGGGCCCCTGGCTCCCTGGAAAGTGTCCCTTTCTATTCCCCATCCTCCCCCAGGCCAAGTCCCTCCCCAGCCTCTGGCTCACTGTGCAGGTCCAATGAAAGAGGAAGAAGATACCACTTCCAGGGCCCTCATTCCTCTCTCTGACCTCTCTTTGCCCCATCTGGCCTCTGATTCAACATCCAGGCTCAGAGCAGTGACATCTCCAAAGAAACACTGGAGTCTCTTCCAAAGGACACTGGAGTCCCTTTAAGTCAAGGAGGGGAAGGTATAGAGGGGCTGCAGATATCCATTGAAATCACATCACAGTAACCAAAATTTACCAAGTGGGCACCAGGGGTTAGACCATGTTGTAAGAGCTTGATGGTCATCAACTCATGCAACCTTCATAGCAGTCCCGAGGTGTAAGTACTAAGGGAATCGATCCCATTTTACAGATGAGGAAACAGAAGCAAGGAGAGGTTCAATACTTTATGCCTCACACTCGTGTCTACCCCAAAGATCCATACAACAGACTGAGGACATACAAAATGGACTTTGAAAGAACACTCAATAGACCAGATGGAAGAAATGCATGAACCACAATGAACACATGACACAGGACATTCCAGATTAAGGATGCTGTGAGCATCCTTAATCTCGACCCACAGATGCATGGGACACACACACAACATTCTCCTGACACCCTCCACCACACCTTCGGTGGGAGTTGGGCAGGTCTGACAAAAAATGTCTCCTTGTCTTTAATATATTGGGGGTTGGATTCTGACCTGTTTCCCAAGAATCCAAGTTATAAAATGCAAATGTGGGTTTTAGATGTGCAAATGTGAATACAAAGGCAGCCCAGGACTTGCTCCTAGAGTTGGAAGAGCCTCTGGTGCTGGGATGAAAAGGAGAGGAAGTTGCTCGAGGTCCTAGGTCAGGCGACAAGGTGGCTCTGGAGCCATTGGGAAGAGCAGCCTCTCTTTCATGTTTCAGTGGCATGGATTTGGCGGCAGAGGGCTGGATTTGGCTCTCTGGTTGGGTTAGCTGGGGACATTCTGTGGGTGACCTGACTGTGAGGGGAGGACGGAAATATCCCCAAACACCTGGCTTCCTTTAAGCCTGGAAGATTTGAGTGTCCCTGAGGCTTAAAGGATGGATTCAGAGGGTAACCCAGGGAGACAGCACAGTAAGACCAGATGGATGACACAGAGAGGGCCACGTGGTGCCCCATATCCCTTTAATGGCGCCCAGGCTGGGGCTTCTGCCAGGGGCAGAGAATCAGAGAACAGGGTTAGGAGGTGGCAGTGGGGAGGCTGATGAATCAGAATCACCCACAACAGGTGGCATTCTTAGACCCCCTCTGTCCTTGATACATTGTCCCACTTTCACATTGCTTACTTGAAACGGCAGGTGCTCTGAATCCGGGATCCATGGAGGTGTGAACCCCCCGAAACTGCCTTTATCAGTGTGTGCGTGATAGATTGAATTGTGTCCCCTAAAAGGTGTTGAAGTTCTAATCCCCAGTAACTGAAAGTGACCTTGTTTAGAAATAGGGTCTTTGAAAATGTTATCAGGTAGTTTAACAAGTGGTCCCACTGGAGTAGGGTGGGTCCTGTCCAGTATGAGTGGTATGAAAGAGGAGAGGAGACACAGGAAGAATGACCATATGAAGAAAGAGGCAGAGATTGGAATGCCCAGGATTGCTGGCCGTCACCAGAAGCCAGGGGACAGACAGACGTGGCACAGACTCTCAAAAGGTATGAACACATCTGACAACCTGCTTTTAGACTCCCAGGCTCCAGAACTGTGAGGCAATCAATTGTTTTCTAAGCCACCCAGTTTGTGGTACTTTGTTACAGCAGTCATAGGAAACTAAGACAGTGTGTATGCATTTTTTTTCTGAGGAGAGAGTTCATAGCCTTCATCAAGGTCATTCTAGAGCAGGCCTATGACCCCTTTCTCCTCCCAAGATTAAGAACCACGGCCTCAATGTCTTTTATCATGGACTTCTTTACAAATATCTTGCCAGTATATATTACCTTTGGAGCTCTGGTAGCTTAGTGCCTAAGGCAATTGACTGCTAACTAGAAGGCTGGCAGTTCAAACCCACCAGCCACTCCTTGGAAGGA